CTAGAAACTAGCCCTCCCTTAGGTGTGAAAACTAGCTGGGTGACTTTGGGCCAGAAGATTCTCAAGCGAACCCACTTCACGGGATTGTTGTTCTTGGGAAAATAAGAGGCAGGAGTAAGAGGTATGATCACTGCCTTGAGAGTAACTAGATAGTTAGAGGTAAAATTATTTTAAAATTCTCTTTTCACCCCTATGAGTGATATGTGTCTTCCTCAATTTCAGATCCTCCTGGAGACCTGGGAGTTTTCTGTGCAATATCTTAACTGTTTCTAGCACTACACTCATTTGGACAGAGAATTCTGATATTGTTCCTGGGATCTGTTGTAGCCACCCCCCTAATTAAGAGTCACTGCTCTTACTATCACTGGGACCACTTTGGTCTTCACATTCCACATCGTCTCCAGTTACTCCTTGGGGCCTTGACACTTCTCCAGCTTCTCATACTCCTTCTTCTGGATGTTGTTGTCACTTGTCACTGTTACATCTATTACCACAGCTGTCTTCTGTCTGTGTCTACTACCACAATGTCTGGTTGATTGGCCAGTACCTACCTGTTCATCTGAATCCGGAAGTCCCACAAGAATTTAGCCTTTGTATTCTTCATGATCTTCTGTGGAATCTTCCACCTGGACTTGGGAGGATCTAGATTTTAGCCCATATACTGTGCAGATGTTCCTATACATAATGCCAGCTATTTGGTTGTCATTCAATGTACGTTGTTCCTGCCAGTATCTTATACCCTCCACTATGTGCTGGACTATTGCTAAAGCGTTTCTGCAAAGTCTGCACCTTTGGTCCTATCTAGTGTGGTAGACTCCTGCTTCTATAGATCTGGTGCTTGGTGCTTGTTGTGCTGCTACAAACAGTGCCTCTGTGCTGTATTTTAGTCCAGTCCTTTCCACCCACTAGTGGGATTTCCCAGTGCCCACCATCTCAATTATCTGTTGATGGTACATTCCACACAAAGTCCTCTCTTGCTATGGCACTTCCTCTGCTTGATCTTCCTCACATGTCTGCTGCTGCCTCAGGCATTCTCTCAACAGCTCATCCTTGGGTGCCATTTTACTGATGTACTCCTGGATGCCGTGGATTTCATCCAGTGGTTTCAAAACTCATTAGACTCCACTCACTCTCTTTCCAACTGATGTAGTCTCTGGATATTGAAACTGAGGTAGAAATTTCCAAACATCATGATGAGAGTCCAGGTTTTCATATCATCAGCTTCCATGCTCTCTTTCGGCCAGCTTACTATTCTGGCAGGGTATCTGATTACTGGCAGGGCATACATGTTGATTGTGCAAATCTTGTTCTTCCCATTGAACTGGCTCTTCAGGACCTGCCTTATCTTGTAGTGGTACTTGAATGTTGTTGACTTCCTTGCCCCCTCACTATGGTTCCCCTGAAACTGTGGAATACCAAAATACTTGTAGCTGGTCTCTACACTGCTTTGCAGTCTATTGATTGTAGGTAGGTAGTTTTGTGCACGTGTGTTTGTGAGTGTATATTTAAAAGTGGGATAAAATATTAATAATAATATAATAATGCAATCTCCTGGAGAATACCAATGGCAATCAAGCAAAATTTAGCTATATTCCTGAAGGTTTTGGGGACTTCAAGATACTGTATTTGAAAAATTGGGAAAAATAGGATCAGCATCAATTTTGCAGTGCTTGGCAATTAAAAGAGATGTGATTACATCTTTGCACCAATAGAGTAAAAAGAGCAATGAAGAAAACTGTATGCTATTGATTGGATTTCTCCCTATGGACATAGATATAGACTATCTTGTATGGGCATGCCACTTGCCATTTAATATTCTTCTAGAATTGTTAAAAGTAAGATATTAATTTAATCTAAAAGCTGATATGTGTTTTGGGCATGGGATGTTAAAGAACTACCTGACTGTTTAGAATGGTCTCTCTCGCATACCTATGTGGTAGATTTTTGAAGTAGAAGTTGGGTTCTTCTGTAGATCAAGATTGAGAATCCGTTGTTTGTCTCTGACTGCGTTTAGCCAATTGAGATCAAATACTGTGTTGAGTATCGGTAAAATCTTAGACTGGAAAATATTTCAATTAGCCTTAAGGGAATAAAATTATCTTTCTGGGTCAAGTCAAAGGGTTTTAAATTAAAAAAACAAAACAAACGACAAATCCCGTATTTCATCTAGCAGAATTGCTTTTAGGCCAATAGCTAAATTAAATTTGCTTCTAGTCTTCATAAGGATTTGGAACTGCATCTGGGCATGCACTGCAAGCACCTTTGGAATTTGATTGCACAGTTGCTATAATGAAATACATCAGAGAAGCCAGCTTTCCTGGATGGGAAGAGAAGCAAAAGAGCATGAAGGTCAAGAAAATCCTCCTTTGGTAAACATACAGAAGACTGATCCGAGGAATCAGGACAGTGAAGAAAACTCAGTGCCAATGGAAACAGGAATCCATGTCAGGCTATTCCTCTGGACCAATGTCTTTCAACCTTAGCAACTTTGAGAGAATTCCCAGAATTCCCAGCCAGCATATTGAAGTCCACACCTCTTAAAATTGCTGAGATAGAGAAACACAGTTCTAGAGAATGATTGTCAGTCACCTGAGAAAACCATGCCACAGAACATTGGATCAAATCAAAGAAATGCTCCGAGAAAGAAGGGGTATGTGATGGTGTTAAGTGTTTCTCTGTGAAGGGGAACTGAACAGCTATATGCAGACTCAGTATGATGTTGTGCCTTTTACAGTGTATAAGATATGACAGAAATGGCACTGAGCCTATTGAAACCCACTGACAAGGGGTTTGTCCATGCGAGAATGACAAAAAATCCTGAAAGGAATCTCTGGAGACTATGAGACTTTGGGCATGAAAGTGAAGGAAATGGAAGCAAATAGGTTTTTCATCAATTTTTCAACATTAGGTCATGGTGCAAGAAAACATAATCCTGGAAGTCAAAATTTGATTACTCAAATGGTGTCACCAGGGATACTGACAATGGTTTGTGCCAGTGTTTCTCAACCTATGCAACATTAAGATGTGTAGACTTCAACTGGCTGGCATTCTGGGAGTTGACATCCCAGAATATTGGAGAAGTTGAGAAACAGTGGTCTATGATATGAAAGATTTCTGGAAGAAACATCTTACAAAAACAAGGAAGGAAATATTTGGCAGCTGCCTCACAAACTTCATTAGAATGGTATAAAATTAGAATAGGAAGACAGCAAAAGTTCAGAACCAAATATATGACTTTTGTATGGACAAAGACCAAGAAAGCAGGACACAAGAGGAAAGTAATGGGATAAGCAGAATGAAAACTTGGGAGTTTTGCAGAAGACAAGAGAGTGATCGATGGTACTCAAAATTTTAAATGTAGCTACATCAGTGCAAAAAGGATTGTGGAAAATAACTAGAGATCTTAATTTAAAAAGATAAACATGTTATAGGCAATCATGAAACTTGATGGAATGACACTGATAAGTTCCAAAGTACTGAAAAACTGCAATTGATTCAAAAAGATAAATTAATTGATCTATAGGGCTGCCCATCTCACAGACCCAAGAGACAGGTGCATATTCTCAGAATCTAAAGAAAAAATATTCAGAAATCAAAGCATGGCAACTCTGTTTAAAGTATTTGGGTAACAATAAATAAACAAAAATGTCTTTCATTATAGATTATCACGGCAGGCAGAAGATACAGGTAAGATCTTTCTGCATCAGATTATTAGTCTTTCAAAGAGATATCCAATAATAATAATGAGGATTTCAGTTATGCTGACATATGCTGGGCATGTGTAACTTTGGCAAGTCAGAAGTTTAACTCTTTTCTCTTACTGACAACTTTTGTCAGAAGGCAGATGAAATAACAAAGGGGTCTATTATCTTGAACCTAATCCTCATCCACAGGGTAGAACTTGTTGAAGAAATGAAGGTGATTTCCTGGAGGAAAGTAATTGTGTTATCCTTGAGTTTGTGATATCAAGAGAATGGATGGAGATCATGTTTATATATTTATATTCTACAAAAAGTCTCATGTTTAATTTGCAACCTTCAATTGGGTGAAACTGGAAGCTATAAGGCAATAATTATTGAAACCAGGTAACTCAAACAGGCAATCTTTTAGAATACTGGGACCCATGATATACCAGGAAATAAAATTTGGAAAAGTTGCGGCCACTTTAGAACGGCCATGCTGTTGAGGTCAGGTGATTCTTGTTTCCATGCTCCCTGACAAGCTTCCCAGAAGTCAATAGGAAATAGAAAGAATTGTGATTACAGACATCTCCTGCAACCTTCCCAATAGAAAGGCTTTGCTTTCAATGGGGAAGTTGGCAGGGAAGTGTCCCAAATTCTGTAAGTCTCCCCTACCCCTTCCCCAGTCCTTCTGCGTGCATGCCAGCCACTTGCAGAAGCCCGCCCTCCCCCACCCAGCAGCAGCCAGTTACTACCTGCTGGCTTCGGTCTTATAACTTCTGGTTGATTTCGTAATCCACATTTAAGTCAGTGGGAAAGCTGGTAGGAAGTCCAAACTCAAGATGTGACAGGAAGGAAGAGGGAGGGAGGGAGGGAAAGAGAAAAAGAAACAAGTTTTCCAATGCTTCCCGCCAGCTTCCCACAAGAAACCTCAATGGGGAAGCTGATGGGAAGTCAGAAGTCACTCCCACTGATTTTTTTTTGTCTGCTCATGGTCATTCTCTTTCTCTATTTAGGTAAGGAAATATCTTTGAAATGATGACCCAATGGGTCATGGGTTGTCTAGTATATATATATATGTGTCTAGGCAGAAAAAGATTAACTAACACTGACATCTTTTTAGAAATCAGTAGTGGATTATTTAGGAAAATATGCACTTTTTCTTCATAGGACTATATTGATCACTTATAAAGCATTTAAATTTTTCTAAATGCACAGAGATTAAAATATATGGTCATAATCCAATACATTCAAAACTAAAGGAATAACAAAAGGAAAAGAAAGAAGAAAAGTAACACTGGTGTGAACTGGATTATCCAATTTGTTTAATTTATTCCTTAATATCACAACTGTACAACTTTCATACATACAGAAGGAAATGCATATTGACTACACCATGGTATGTAGATGCATTTCCAATTATAATACAGTTAAGTGCAATTCCACTTGAAAATGTACATTTGTACAACTTATACAAAGAAAAGACTGCTACACTATTATTCTGTGACAGTATAAAGCCTTGATTTATGTTAAGTTTCACTACTAAACCATATTCTGGTTAAATACAAAATATACTAAATCATTTTTAAAAGGCCTTTGTGGTAGTTGGCCAGTATATAAAATATGTTGTGTAAAATTTAACCTTCTGCATTTTTAAAAATAAGCTTGTAACATGTTGTCATAGAGAGCTATTAAGAGTGACACATTTAACAGGAGCCATGCTGTAACTTCTTTTCCTTTGCTATTGCATCAATCACCATCAGAAAAGTTCACCTTGATATAAACATCTCTCTTAGAAACCAAAACCCGCTGAAAGTAATGGTCTTTAATTCCCAGTAAGATGTTTTAATAGGATGTATGGTGATAACTCATAGTTTTGGAATTATTTTTAACTGAGAGAAAGAACATATACTTCCAAGCCATAAAACCAATTCAGAGTTAAGTGTGCTTAAACCTAACTAAAATAAGATGGTTTAAGCACCTAAGCTCTACATTTGGTTGTATTTTAGTTAAACTTGCAAGATAATGCTGCTTTATTCAAACTACAGAATACTTTTTCTGGAAAAACAAGACCACATTCTTCTACAAGGAAGAATGAAAAATGTTATTCAAGTTTCCATCTACATTTTCACAGGTGAAGTCTTACCAATTTGTGAAAATATGTTTCTTATAAGATGAATCTGAACATTACATGTTAACATTATTTTGCTCTATGTCTTAACCAACAGTTCATTTTTTTTGCTAACAACTGTATCAAAGGAAAAAACTCAAACATTTTTCCTATTGCCATTCCTATGACAAGAATGGTTTGATGTATAACCGCCTTTAAAAATATACATTTTACAATCCTGCAATCTCAACAAAAAGGTGAGGCAGGAAATAAATATCAGTTCTCAGGGCTTTATTTGCTTTTAAACTAGAGACTACCTGTTGTAAGCTCTTTCTTTTTTAGATTTCTCTAGGGCTTTGTCCATCGTTTTCTCATTTTCTCCTCTACATTTGGGACAGTACCACTTGCCCTTGGGTTTATGATTGAGTCCCACACATGAGAAGTGAAACCATTCAATTGGGCATTCATCATTGTCACAGCCTATCATTTCTCCATAGGAGACCTGGTTACACAAACAATAGGTTGGTTCATTGGGATCAATGGGCAGGTCTGCAGGGGAAGCTTCCCTCTCTGCTTTGGTCTTAGATCTCTTCTTTTTCTTGGAAGTTTTTGCTTTCTTCTCCTTTGGTGTTCCTGAAGTGATGTCATCATGATCGTGATTATTAGAAGAATTCTCACGATTTTCATTATTTCTTTGCCTCCTGGATCGCTTATTGTTGGGCTTTTCTGCCTGAGTCAGTGTTTCATTCTTTGATTTGTCTTGGTTAGTCTTACCGTTATTTCCAGTAATATCATTAGTCTCTTGGCAGGTTTCAAATAATTCTACATGACTATCAACTTGTCTAGTTCTGTTCTCGACGAGTTCTACCATTTGACTGACAATTTGGATCTTTTCATCTCCCAGTTCTTGACTCCGAATCAGTGCTCTCTGTATACAATGCAATAATCTTCTCTTTTGTACTGCATCTGTTTCCCGTTTGAATTTTTCGTAATAATCATCGAGTTCTTTTAAGATCTCTATAAAGAAAGGATAAGGTTGTTATTTGTCAGCCGTGCATATAACACAGAAATGTTTAAGCTTCATCAAACATGTTTGCTCAAATAAAAAACTCCCCAAACCTTTCATCATGTACTTTGCTTAGCACTATTTGGAAAAAGGCATGTGTAATTTCTTCTGAATCGAGCTTGACTGCTTCTGATTTTATGAACACATCTTTTTGATTTTCCTGGTAATAGTACAGAAGTTGTTTCTCACTGCTTTATTCCTGAATGACTTTTTTTACGAATTTCATATCTAGCCTGTGGGAATGGGACAACTTGCCACAACCAACTCTCTGTGGCCAACTCACTATGGCCAACTCTCCACAGCCAACTCACCACAGCCAACTTGCCATGGGACAACTCACTGCAGAATAATTTAAGAATTCTATTTAATTATTTAAAATAAATAAAAAAATATTTTAATTTTTGTCAATCACAATTAATTCTGTTCCTCCTTTTGCATGCTTTCTTTAATTATTGTATTCCACCATTTCTTTGTTATTAGCATAGCTTTTGACCAGCAACTAGTTGTCCCGCAGCAAGTTGGCTGTGGTGAGTTGGCCATGGCGAACTGTCATAGACCCCTAGCCTATAGCTCTTATACTGTATTCCTTGGAAGTCTCATATTCAGATTATTATTAGTATATGGCCTTGTTACATTAGCCAGGAGACCACAATGTTATTGCAGAGTAGTAGTTTGGCTGCCAGTGTACCAGTTCTGTTGTAGGAAATATTTGTGCGCTTCCCAAGGTGCGCCACAGGAGGACAAGTTGCTTCACACCAGAAAGACGAGCGGCTCTTTCTGCGTCACCTCTCCTTCCTCATAGCCACCACGCAAACAGGTGCCACAGCTGTGAAGATTCAGAGTCAGCAGGAATCTGACTACTGCATAAAGTACCAACTCGTCTCCCCATCAAAGTGGTACCTATTGATCTACTTGCATAGAACATGCTTTTGAACTGTCAAGTTGACAGAAACTAAGGCAAGTGATGGGAGCTTACCCCGACACCCAATGCTAGGACTTGAACTGCTGGAGCAGAGACCATCTCCAGTGCAATTAAGCCACTGAGCCATCGCGCCTCTTCACATTCAGATGCTAACAAAGTACAAACTGTTTAGTTTTCCATCCCAGACAAAATCATCCAGGGACTGTGGCATACTGAGATATAAACTGGAGCCTGGGGATAAAAATATTGTTGGTATAAAAAAATACTGTTGATAAGCAAATAAAATAAGCATTCTCTGTTGCTTCAAGATTTTACTCAGAGGCTCTGCTTCAAGTCACCATGGTTTATTTTGCTCATTATTTAGATATATGTGTCTGCGTGTATAATGTACAAAAAGTTAAAACTGACTTGAGGTTTTTGGTAATTTCATGGACATATAGTTTTTTTTAAAGCATCACCAAAGTAGTCTACAACTGTCTTCTTTCATTTCTTTTTGGGGAGGGGGCAGGGGTTTTCCCAGTACTGGGAATTTCCTGGTGGCCTCCCATCTAACTTCTACTTACTGGATTAAGTAATTTAGCTTTTAAAATCAGCAAAGTTGGTGAGGTACTGCCACCTAGTTGAGCCTTTAATGAGCCTCTAAAACATTGTCAATCATTTACGCGATGTAAATTATGCAATTTACTTATCTTTGCTTATATTAATTATATGGTGTACAGCGTTAGCCACTGTTTTTACTCTAAAATCCGAACGGTCTTTCAAACTATTTGTAAGCCATCTTGAGGAAATACATGGTTTTCAAGGCCGGAATATGTCAGTCTCTTTTAAATCAAGAGGCAAAACACAGAAATACAAGGTGTATTTTCGTGTAATTTACACGCAAAGCTGTACTCCATTGATTTTTCTTTTTCAAATATAAACAGCGCTTCAGTCTTGGAACTGAGGCAACCTCTCTCTCTCCCGGGATGGCCATTTATTCCGTCCACGTCTTTATTTTAGACCAGGGCTTGAAGGGGTCTTCTACGTATCAAGCCAACGAGACATATACCATTAGAAAAGGAAAGAGAGCAAAAATGGATTTGCCTCGACCCGCGAAATCCCGGTCACAGCCGTAGTAAATGAACGCGCGGGACGAAACAGAGAAGGCCCCGCCCCCACCCCGCTTCCAGGGCAGCAGTCAATTGCGCCGATGAAGGGGCGGGGCCACCCCAGAGTACAAGAGGCCTCCCGCGGCCGCGGCGTCGCTGAGGGGGTGGAGCAGAATCAGGAGAGCGCGCGCAGGGAGCGGGAAAACAAGGACCCTCAGGCCCCGCCTCATCGCCGGGAGTGTGCGCTCGCGTCCGTGCCCACATTCGAAAAAGACTTAGCTCGTCCCAGCTGCCTCTCTTATCCTCTGCCAATCAGAAGCGCCTCCCTTGCCTCCCCCCCCCCGTCTCCTTCTGAGGCAACGAAGCCACTCCCTCCCCGTCCCTCCCACAGGATGCGATTTCGAGGACCATTGTTCTTAGAAGGGAAGTGGGGGTAGGCGTGAGTGCGTGTATGTCTGTTTTTCTCTTTACGTCTGTCTTTAATAGAACGTACGCGAAGAGCAGGAACCGTCCAGCCGGCCAATCAAGCTCTGGCATCTCCCACCACAGCCCGCCTGGGTCGAAACCGTCCAATTAGAATAAGGAATTACACCAATAGGCCACCCTCTAGCTAAAAAGTATTCCCACCAATCAGGAGGGAAAGCCCCAAACCAACCTCCACCTCCTTGAATGTCAATGTTCCAATCAGGTCCCGAGGGCGGGCCGACGACCGCCTTCATCTTCCACATCAACCCATTAGTCACCGCACGCCTTCAACTCTTCCTTCAACTAGCAAGCCAATCAATCGCAGAGGAGCAGCCGGGGCAGTTCGAACTATTAGAAGAAACCTCCGCCCTGCCGCTTCCCCGCCCCTCCGCCCCATCCTCCACCCTTCGGTCCTGTCAGCGTCACTACGAAGCGAAGATCGGTACAGAATTCAGGGGATACTAATCATTGAGCAACAGGGCGGGGCCAAAGCGGCTTCCTGAGGGAAGTTCCACCAATAATGGCAGAGGAGGCGTGGCGAGCACAATCGGGGAATGACGAGGAGCTATAAAAGCTCTGTGACGGCGCTTTTCACTCTCTTCTTTTAGAGCTCAAGCGCAGAGGCGTCTCCCTTTAGCGCAATCGAGTGCTCGCCGCGGGTTGAAATGCCCGCCCTTGTCCTTCAACCCTCCTCTCTTCCGTATTGCCCCTGCTCAAACTGCCGTTCATACACGCAAGTTGAAGCTTGTCTCTTCCCCTTTTCTGTCGCCTTTCTTACACTCTCGCTCGCCTGCTTTTTGGCGCGTCTTGCGGACGGCACATTATAAGTCTTCACCACAAAACAAATACTTGTTGTTCCCATCCTACTCCTCCCTAAGCGCCGCAAACCCCAGCCGGTTCCCATCTCCTCCGGTTCTCCACCGACGGAAAAAGGGGATTTGAACGTGCCAGGGGCACTCCGGTGTCACCTCCACCAGCAGCCGTCGCACTCTTTTCACCGCTCTCCACCCCTTTTACCTCTCACAGCACCCGGTGACAAAAGACTTCTCCAGCTCTTTAACTCCACAACCACCATTTCTCGGGTTGCAGAGTGCGAGAGGGAGGGAAGGATCCAGCCTCCCTCTGTAAGAGCTGCAAAACGCGGCAGGAGTTTGGGAAGGGGGGAGGCCCTCCGCACATCCCCAGCCCACACGGGATTTATATAATCGGTTCCCATCACTTTCCGCGCTCTCTCTCCCTGCAGAATTTGGGCTAGAGCAGCCCGTTTTGAAAGCAAACCCCATTGAAAAAAAGAAGAGGGAACGAAGGCTACAAGCCCGGCCCACCCCTCGCACACTCCAGCTAATCCACCCGCCCGCCCTCTCCCTCTTACTAGCACCCTCTCCTACTACAGCCATTGCGAATACTAGAAATTCCTCAATGTGGTGCCGTAATCGCTCTCCCTCCTCTTCTTCCTCGCCGCTGTCCCACCGTCCCCAAAAGCAGCGCCTCTTCGCCGGGGAAAGAGAAAGAAACAGCTGCCTCCGTGCCCCATGCGTCCGGATTTCTCTGCCCCTCCTCTGCCCCGCTTCGGTGCCGCCGCCTTTTTGTCCAGCATTTTTACACCTAAAAAGCCAAGTCCTTGCTTCAGAGCGGAGGACCGAAAGGAAGACCTTTTGTTCCGCCCCGAGAGGGAAAAAAGAACTGGGTATCCCTGCAGAGCAATCCCCCTTCTCTACTCTCCTTGCTTTCCGCTTCTCTTCTCACTAATAAATAATCCCGATAATAAAAGCCACCCTCTGCTTCCAGCTCGGGGGGCGCTGGGAAGAGACCCAAGAGACCATCTCTACAAACAAGGCAAGCCGAGGTGGCTTCTACAGACTCTCGTCCACCAACACATAAAGGAGAAAGCTCTTACCTTGGTATTTGGCGTCAATTTCCCTCATCAGGGAGACATTTCTCTGCAGATCGAAAGGCAGGGATTCGATCGAGTCCAGGTAATCCTCCACATAGTTCGCTAAATGAAGCTGCTCTCCGTTGGCAGGATTCAACATTTTCATCCGGCCGAAAATTGTGGGTATGTGTGTGTGTGTATATATCGTCCTCTCACCCCAATGGGCGAGAGTTTTCCTTTCCAGCACGGCAGCCCCAATGGCAGAGACTCGGTCCTCCGCCGCCTCAGTGTCTCTCTCTGGTTCCTCGGATCAAACCGAAAAAAACACCAGAAAAGCTACATCTGAATCTTTTCTTCCCTGAACAGGCAGGCAGGCAGGCACACACACAGTCCGCGAGTCTCTCCAGCAGCAGTAGCAGCTGATTGAATGGCTGTCGTTGTCGGTAACTCACCAAGGAGGTGGTAGGAACAATCAGAGGGATGTGTGTGCGTCTCCGTGTGAGTGTGTGGACAAGAGAGGGGAGGGTGGAAAAGGGAGAAGGTCTAGAAAAATACACAGATCTCCCTCGGCAGACAAGTAAGATCCGCGCGGTAAAAATGTCTCGCAGAAGGCAGAAGCAGTGTTTCCCAGTGCGTGTCGCTTCTCCTGAGCTGCCGGTGATCTTAATGCAGCTTGCTCTGTACGCCGCACTTGATCCAACGTGGAAAACCCAAATACCAGTTTCAAACACTTGGGAAACATTCAACCCCGCCAGCTAGTGCGCGTGCGCAGCACTCCCATTGCAACCCCCCCCCCCCGAAAGAGCAGCAGCAGCGAGGACACTCAATGCGCCGCTTTCTCTACAGTTGTGCTGGCCTCTCCCTCCTCCCGAGAAGGAAGTGAGACCGCGGGGGCGGGGGAGCTGCACGGGAATGGGGTTTTGTGCATGCCCAGCCAAATACAGCTTTCTGACGTAGTCATGTCTCGGGGGGGGGGTCGCAAACGCAATACTGCTTACTCTTTCTTTTTCCCTAAAAAAAAGGGCCCTGCGCTGCGTCTGCTGGAGCGGGAACTCGGGCTGTGTTGACTAAAGGCAAAACGAAAAAGAGACGTCTGAAGTTGGTGGGCGGCGTTTCATTCAGCGGCTGGCTTTTGAACTCCTCCGCCAGAGCCTTTGGATTGCTCAGCACCCCCGACCGGAGAACGGGCAGAGCTGGTAAGAGTTAGGATGGTGCTTTTGCATTTGTCGCGCCTCGGGCATAAACTTGGAGAACTTGCGGCAAAAGGACTACGGTCTTTCTCAGCCTCGGCAGCAAGCCGCATTTAGTGGCCAGAGAGGAAGGGATGCAGCTGTTGGCTCCCTTCTGCCTCCCCTCTGCATTGTTTCGGTTCTCCAGTTTACAGGAGTTTCCCGAGTTAAAAGGAGACAGTCTCCTTCCCTGCTTGAAGTTAGCTACTGCCTCTGTCATTATAATCCAACACTGACAACAGGATTGCCCAATCAACTGTCAGGCTGTTTCCCACCCCTTTGCCTTCTAATCCAGTCACAGGTTGCGGATTGCAGAGCCGGAAAAGAGGAGGCAAGTAAAAATCGGTGCATGCGCAAATTGATGACTTGTGAATAAAATGGAGGGCGAAAGATGCAAAAAATAGACTACATTTCCCTATAACCTCTTCTCTTTTTTTTTTTGTGGTGCCGCATGCGCCCGGATAATGGCTACTGGACTCCGGGGTGGGGTAGCCCCCGTACTTTTAAGGTTGCCTAATCTGAAAATCAAAGCACATTCAGCTGCAGAAAACAAGAGGATCTAAGTGGAACAAGCTGGTTGCTTTCCTCTGCCCTGATGAGGAAGGATCGCTTGGTACTTATTTGAATTTAGCCAACAGCAGTACCCCCCTAAGCTCGAATCCATGTTCAGATAATTGTCCCTAGGTAGTCCTGCTGTTTAGAAAGTAGATTTAGGTTAATGGAAAGAAAAAAAATTGAACAAAGGGAGGAAGTATCAGGAAATTGAGCTTAAAGCCAATAGTTAACTGCAATGGCAACTTAAATATATTTATTTAGTAACAGGTGTAATTGCCAGATGCCTGCATAAAGAACAACTGCCTGAAAATTGTTGAGGGTGTAAAACTGACAAGGTGGAAGAAAAGGGATGCCTTGGTGACTGGCAGGGTAGTGAAGAGTCATTCTTAAATTTTCAGATCATATTTGTCTAGTGAATTTTGAAGGGCTATTGAGCTGTTTTTACAACCATGATATTCACTGATTACATCTTATAAATTAACTTTCTGGGTTTAAAAGCAAACAGGTGTGTTGTGGCAAACTTTTACTTTTTGACATATAGATTTAAAAATGTAAGATTTTGAATAGTTATACCAATAGAAATTGCACAATGAGGATTTGAACAGATTATATTTTAAGCTGACTTGATTACTTTATACGTATCTCAAGGTGGCAAATTGACATTATACTTCCTCTTCTACAACAACCCTGTTAAGTGGGTTGGAGCTGAGGGAGAACAACTGGCTCAATGTCACCCAGCTGGCTTTCATGCCTAAGGCGAGACTAGAACTCACAGTCTCTTGATTTCCAGATCTAAACTGTAGTGTAGATCAGTGTTTCTCAACCTTGACAATTTTAAGGCATGTGGACTTCAACTCCCATAATTCCACAGCCAGCATTGCTGGCTGTGGAATTCTGGGAGTTGAAGTCCACATGCCTTAAAATTGTCAAGGTTGAGAAACACTGGTGTAGATAGTGGCAAAATATTTGTTTTACATTCTCACTGCAGGTGTAAAATATTATCCTGTCTGGTGCAGGTGATCTTTCCTGGAACAGCTACCTTTCAGTCAATAGAGAAAATAGCAGTCTATGTAAAAGAGAGGTGCATCAGCTGCTTCTCTTGAATAGAGATTGTAAAACCAGCACCACAGGAAATAAAAATACTATTTCTTAAAAATATCAAGGGACCCACCACAAGTGACCTTGGGCTAATCACTTTCCTTCAGCCCAGCTCAGTTCACAGGGTTGTTATGGGGAAAATAGGAAGGTATGTTGGATATGTTCACTGCCTTGAATTATTTGTAAAAATAATAAAGGCAGGATATAAATAAATGCTAAATGTCTGATTTTTTTTTTGCCTGCTGCAGACAATCTGCACCCCAGATTGATGTGATATCCTTGTGGTGATTACGGTATGGGTACCTAGCAGTTCGAAAGCATGCAAGCTAAGTAGATAAATAGATAACACTTTGGTGGGAAGATAACAGCATTCTGTGTGCCTTTGGCATATAGCAGTGGTGGCGAACCTATGGCATGGGTGCCAGAGGCAGCACTCAGAGCCCTCTCTGTGGGCACGCGCGCCGTTGCCCCAGTCCTAAGCCCTCAGCTGGATTTTATAAAACCTTTTCGCTTTAGGCTTCCGCTGCCATGTGCAAAAAAAAAAAAGGTTCAATCAGTCAATTTCAACTTCTCGCGGAAAAAAAAAGATCTTTTAAAGTTGGAATTGATTGATTGAACTTTTTAGTCTCACCCAGTCTGCCGTTACCACTGCAGCCACGCCCACCCAATGGGCCACACCCACCCGGCACTCGACGATGCATAAGTGGGTTTTGGGTTGCAGTTTGGGCACTCAGTCTCTAAAAGGTTCGCCATCACTGGCATATAGTCAGGCAGGCCACATGACCATGGAAGCATCTTCTGACAATACTGGCTCCATCTGCTAAGAAATGGAGATGAGCATCACCCCCTAGAGTAGGACATGATTGGACCTTTCCTTTACATAAATTCACAGAAGCAATTGTCAATCATTTGGTTGATAAACCTAGTCCATTTGGTAGTTTAAAAAATTGAGATGCCAAAAAAAGCAGCTGTGATCAATTGGTGTGCAAAACCTGCAGACAAAATGAATAAGCACAAGGAATTTTATTCTTTCTAAACTGGTGGATGGGGGAAAACAGCACACAGATTTTTTTTAACAGATAACTAGAAAAAAGGGAGAGGGGATAGAACTAGTTCCTTTTTAAAACAGAAGCTTCCTTTTGTTTCATAGTGAGTCTCAGAAGAGAAGGAATGGATTTGCCCTCGAAGAAAGTTCATTTCTCATTAGACAAAATTACACTATGCTGCTTAAGCCACAATCGTACATATGTTAGCAGAAAGGGAGAAGTTTTTATAAACAATAAACAGCATTTGTCTTCAGTGGTTTCTGTTGTAAATAGAACATTCTATCTGTGTTTACTAGAAATAGCAATAGTAGCTAAGTACCTACACATGGAGATACTTTGTGTAAAAACTTCTGAAAAATCATGAATCTTCTTGAAAGCCTTAAATGGTGCTTAGGGTTTTATAGGAACTTATTTTTGTGTGGACCAATTAACTCCAATATTTGTGTGGCTTCAAGACAAAGCTCCATAACTATTATATCGAATAAGACTTCTTTCAACTTGGGAAACTTTTTTCTGGCCAATCTGTAGAGTTAGACAAGTTTAGTTTCAAAGAAGAAACGCAGACATGCAAACTGGTATCTTCATTCAACTCCATTTATTTAATCAGAAATAGATGTATAAGATGTTTTGCATTAATAGTCTTAACATATTTTATAAGCTACACTTAGTCAATATTAGTATGAGTCATGTCTGTTCAGTACTTTATTTTAGTTTGTAGATGCATAGGTGCACACATTTATACATATGATCTAGGATTACAGATGCAGGATTCACTACAAACCACAGCTATTATTTGTCTCCAGGCTCAAGGGGCAGAATGTTCAAGCTTTTTAGTAGCTTTCATTATTTTTAATTATTTGCTTACATGTTTTTGGAGAATTCTGGGATATAAATGATTGCAATAAAATATATATTTTTCTTTTTAGTAGTATTTTTATTTCGTTTCTATGGATGCATAAATTGTGTCAAAATAAAATGAGAGCATATAAATAAAATTAAAGCACACTTCCAGTGTATGTTTTAATAACTCAGTGACTTTAATGGTACTTATGACCATGTATATTGGGATTCATTCTGAATTACACCAAGCAAGGCTTCACAAAGTGGGGTGTGCATGTCTATAAATATAAATGTCATGGTATAGTGCAGGGGTAGGCAACCTCCCAGAATTCCTGAGCCAGCATGCTGGCTCAGGAATCCTGGGAGGTGAAGTCCACGAGTCATAAAAGAGCCAAGGTTGCCTACCACTGGTATAGTGTCTACTGGAACAATGTCAATTGCTTGGGAAACGTTCTTTTGATAAAAATGTAATATGTCCATTAAATTTAATGAAATATCACTTTCACATTTGCTTTTCGAACATCTTATAAACCAGTAAGAGACATAATGTCTGCTTCTTAAGAAAAAGTTCTCAGACCATGCAACTAACATCTCAGAAATCAAATATATTTTTTTAACAAATGAAAATATAGATTCTACAAAGTCTAATATGCATGACATGGCATTGTTTAAACCAGTGATGTCATCTGGGCTCCTGAGGTTTGTTTTAAACCCAGTCTTAAGCTGCTGTTCAAAACCTTTTTCTCATATTCCTCATGTTTCTCCAAGAAGCTCACAGTGGCAGACATGGATTCAACAATCACTTTCATCCTCGTAAAAGTCTGAGTAGAACTTAAAGCCACACTGGCCCAAAGTCATCCAGTAAGCCCAGACTGAATAGGGATTGAACCCGGGTTTTCCCCTATCAAGACTCCACCCAGGGAATTTATCGGCGAGTTTTATTT